TTACATTTCAGAATTGATGTATACACATATGACAATAAGAGACTAATCATTAATGGAAAGATTCAATTAATACAATACTATATGATTTTACTATAAATAATTTCTGTAAGGAATACACAGCACGTCTAATTTAGTACAAATTTCAATAATGAATGAAGTTTTACTTACACCTAATACTAACATTCTCTATTCAACCCTGTCCTGAACAATCTTTTTTTGTTTTTTTTTCAGTTCTCTTCACTTGACATTCATCGTTTTTCATGTCTGTTTCAAAATGTGAACACAGTTAGTCATTCGAACATCTTATTTTTCGTTTCCTTTCATGATTCTAAGAAAACACTTGCCTCATGATATAGTTTGATGATTTTCTCAACACTGAACATCGACTATGCCATCTTAGAAGAATCAAACTGAGGACATATTAGTCTCATACATGAATAGTTTAACTCTAGACCACTGAACTGATATTCAACAGTGTTAATGTTTCACTTCAACTAATCCATGATATTGAACTACCATTTATCAATAATATTTCATAACTGTTATAACTTGTGAATTAAATGCTTGAATACGAATTCCATTAAGTGACATCTATTCTACTACTAACCAATAGTAATATGTCATGTTGATATTCTAGATAATTCTATGATGTTCTGATTGGTTGGAACTCTTCGGCACTTTTAGGGTCTCTATACACTTCGTTGTAATCCTTGGAATTGAATTGAACTCATGAATTAACTATCTGATCTATACTTTTAATGTAATGTAATCTTCATATTTTTATAATCATATTTTTATAACTAGAATGGGTTTTGTGGAGAATTGTTAATTTCAATAGTTGAAATCATGAATCTATTGAAGCTAGATCACCATGGAAAACCTGGAAGCACTGGATGGCCGTTTCGTCCTAGTATGGGACTCCCGCCCCCCGCGGGATTCGAACCCAGGACCTACCAGTCTCGCACCAGGCGCTTAACCAACTAGACCACTGAGCCGGATGGTATCCAACGGTGTTAATGTCTAACTTCAACCAATTCACGAAGTTACGCCATCGTACACCATTGTCTTCAGTGAGCTGATATCTCACAACAGAGCTGATTGAACTCCATTGGTCACGGCTTCTCACTAGAACTCCAGGAGTATCTCTTGAAATCAGTCACTAGTGAGCAGATGATTATTACTAGAATGGGTTGTGTGGAGAATTGGTAATTTCAATAGTTGAAATCATGAATTATTATTTAACTAATATTACGTAATACTTCTTATTCCTATCATATTAGTAGTATAAGAAGTGTTCTTATAATTGTGACGCATAATATACTATTCTTTATTTTATTTATACGCAATTAGATCAAACTTATGTATAAGCAATCGGGTTGGTAGTTTTATGAATAGACATGGATACAAAAAAGAAAAAGCACAATCATGAACCAAATATGTATATACATTTATAAATAGTGTGCTGATAAATATTCGTTTCATATTAAGATAACACACACACGCACACACACACCTATAGATATATAGGTATACACACTTATCATATATATGTATAGGCTTAAAGATTTTGATAAATACGTGGGTGCTATTTCCCTTAGTTTAACTAATAATATCTTGATATTTTTCGGTCAATTTTTACAATAGGGTGGTAATATATATTCATAGAAGAGGGTCGATTAAACTTTCTTCTTCTTCTGCTTCTTCTTCTTCTTCTTCTTCTTATTTTGTTTTTGTTTTTGTAAGCGTAGGCATATATAGACATAGTGTTACAGATCTATGTTAAAGACGATATGGTTACTGTTGCTGTGATTGTTGTTGTAGTTATGATTGTTGGGAATAATCATGACGACGAAGGTGATCGCAACTATGTAATACAGGCATAGTATGGTATATATATATATATTGTGCACAATTCAAGGTTCTTTTCTTTTCTTTTGAATATGTGCAGCATATATAGTATTCTATGTATTCCCCCACCCCCACCCCCTCTTAGAAATAATTATTAAATTAATATACAAACTTTAGTATCTGTGTGTTATTTTTTCTTATTGTTGTTTATTGTTGCTGTTGCTATACTATAAGTTTTTTAGTTCATTTAATCATAGGTATTTTCTATATATTGAAAACATAGGAAATGGTGGAAAATTATTTCTTTTATACAATAATCATTTCACTAATATATAATCATTCTGTTCAATTCAATTGTTGGTAAATCATACTCCAAATACAAAATTATTACCATACACACACACACACACACTCACACTCACACACACACACACACAAACTCACACAAAGATACGTTTACTCAAAACTATACATGGATACTAATGATTCAAGTATTATCACATTTAAATTGAATATAATCAGTACTACTAATTAAATGATCAGTAATATATTATAACTTATAAGAGATACAATAGGATACATATTGTATATGATAAATAAAAAGATCTAATTAACAACTTGATTGGATTTATATTTGTCAAGAGAAAATAATGTAAGTTCTAATATTGATTGTGTAAGACATTTGTTGTTGTTGTTGTTGTTGTTGTTGTTGTTGTTGTTGTTGATAGTATACTTTTTGATGACGTTTTGTTCTCTAAGCTGGATGGTTTGGTCATGGAGCTTTCATTGTTCTTCTTCTGAACGACATCATCCACAGCACAAACTTCAGATAGATAGACTTCTATCTGAAGTTTGTGCTGATGATGTTGTTCAGAAGAACTATCTAGTTCATAGAATAAAACTTTATCAGAATCATAGACTGATGACTTACAGACTTGATCTATATTATTTATAGACCTATCTATATTATTTTAAATTGAATATAGAATATATTTAAGTCATATTCATTGTTTCTAATGTATATAATTGAAATAAGAAGTATCCATTACATAGAGATTAAAATCTGGTGTTCTATTTATTCAATTAATTTATTTATGTCTATTCCCCCAGTCTGCAGAGTATAGACAGTATAGCAACATACTCTATTGAACTCTATCATAAATAATCCTTTTGTAATTGCTAGTTGTTCTTGTCCTATTTATTTCCAATTTATAATGTAGTGTGTTGTTTAGCCTTTCACTTTTCAATAATTCTTCAAGAATCTAAAGTAGTTATAGGAACTCACGTTCAATGGAGTTTGCTCTCATCCAATTCGGTTAAGCCCTTTTTATTAACTTATTAAACGGATAAAGTCACCTGCACTACAATAACTTATTATTGTATCCTTATTACTGTTGCGAATGTATGAACATGTATGCTCGGCAAATCTTACTGCCTATGTATTTATTCACGCTACTAGCTTTACTATTAACCGCTTAATTGACTCGATGATTCATTCATTTCACTATGTATATATATGTCCATGTTATTCATATTCATGACTCGCTCGCTCGTTCATTCATTCATTCACTCGCTCGATCGCTCGCTCTTGCCCTTGCTCTCTCTCTCTCTCGCTTGCCTGTTTGCCTTTCGGCACAACTATTTCATGCTTGCTTAACGCATCTGTAATATTAGATATCTGTGTGTGGTCCCATAATAAACGTAATGAACACTTCGTATTTGCCTTCTGATGAATATACCGTTGGAGCGTTATTTCGTGATGGTTACCAAGACGAATTGTATACGGAGTTTAAGGAATATATATCGAACATCGACCACCACAAAGTATTTTACCTTATGATATATATCCTATCTATTATTTTAAAAATCTTTTCCTAATTTTTTCTTCAATTGAAAAACTGGTTTGTTCTCTCTTAAACTAGGCTAATGCTGATGATATTCAATCAAAGAATATTTAGTATCTTACATAGACAACTATTTATAAATAGTTGTACCTGTTTGATAATAGTTATAATAGTCATTCATGTTTAAGTTCCATACAGTAGAATTGGTTTGATATTTATATTGAAGATTATGATCTTCATATTAGTTCATAATGATGTTGAGTTCTATAAACTGGAATGATGTCTTTACTTTGACAATCTTTCCCTTTATACTTTTAATAATATTATTATTGAGTATAACAAAATGATTCTTTTTGAATATAAAAATCAGATTGACGGGTTCCCTAATTTCTATAACATTTTTTTCAAAGTTTAATAAAGTGGAGATTGTAATAATTTCAATGATTAAGATCATGAGTCAATTGAAGCTAGATCACTATGAAAAACCTTAAAGTAGTGGATAGCCGGCTTAGTGATCTAGTGGTTAAGTGATTGCGCGTAAAACCAGTAGGTCCTAGGTTCGAATCTCACAGGGGGGCGAAATCGTGCATGCGCATTGCCACTGAGGAGTCGTATAATAGAACGAAACAGCCGTTCAGTGCTTTCAGGTTTTCCATGGTGATCTAGTTCCAATGCACTCATGATCTTAATCATTGAAATATAATAAAATTGTTTATGAATCAGTTTGAATCAATTCACTTTGTTCATATGATTATCTTTTATCAAATAGAATGCTTATTAACAAACTATATAGGTATATATACCCTTCCATTTGATGTACGTACCTTTTGATCGAAATATTAAAGATGATCTATAACTGATATACATTTGATTCTATTGATTTTATTGATTAGTATTGTATTTTATTTATTTAATCAATTTCATAAAAATAATTCAAGTTAGATCATTATGAAAAACTTAAAAGTATTTACTAGATAGCTATTTTATTCTATTGTAGAACTCTTGATCAATGTGTATCCATAATCTTATCTTCTCACAGGATTCGAACCAATGACTTACTAGTCTCATACTTGAGTTTAAAACAATTAGTCCCTTTTATAAAGTTGCGATAATGGAATAAGAAGACGGAGATTATCAAAACTATGTGATATATTAGCGCAATACATTTCGAACAAAATCTGATCACACATATACTTGTTAAGAGCATTTATATATAAAAATAAAAGGTCAACTAGACTGGAAATGGGGTAAGAGGAGATAAGGATAATAATAAGAGTAATAATAATAATAATAATAATAATAATAATAATAATAATAATAATATTAATAATAATAATCTGAACACAATTCAAAACCTAATCACTCTGGATAATAATAGTTATTGCCCTGTGCAATACAAACGTGGTTTGATAAGGTGTCTTTTCAACAGGCTTGATCGCATTTGTACAAATGACGCCATTGATGATGATGTTAAGTTGTTAAACAAAACATTAATAGAAAATAGTTACCCCCTGAAATTCATAAATAGATGGAAAGTCCACGATACAGTGAGACCTACTGTAGCCTCGGTGGAAAAAAAAAGCCTGTCTACATCACCTTACCATTCAGAGGTGATTCAAATAGTCTCTTATTGAAACAAAGACTTAAATCAGTCATCAGCAAAACGTACTGCGCAGCAAAGGTCATTGTCAAAGAAAGAACAAGGTGCATGTTTCATTCAAAACCTCAAAGACATGAAAACGATTGTGTCACATCCCACTGTGTTTACCAATTTAAATGTGTGTGTGTGTGTGGGTCACACATACATAGGGAGGAGCAATCGTAATCTTAACATTAGGGTGAGTGAACATGTACACAAATGGCTGCAAAAACAAATACAATCAAGTGACCCAATAAGAGCATAGGATAAACATCCATCATCCTCTATTGCTAAACATATAATTGAAACAGGGTACAAGATTGATCTAAACTCGGCTTTTGTGGTATTATATAAAAGTGTAAAAGGACGTATACTAAGGTTTATTGAAGCCTTAGCCATACGAAAATTCAAACCCCCTTTGTGTATTCAAAAACAGTTTGTTCATACCTTAAACCTACCCTGGTAATATTGACTTATTATCCAGAGTGATTAGGTTTTGAATTGTGTTCAGATTATTATTATTATTATTATTATTATTATTATTATTATTATTATTACTCTTATTATTATCCTTATCTCCTCTTACCCCATTTCCAGTCTAGTTGACCTTTTATTTTTATATATAAATGCTCTTAACAAGTATATGTGTGATCAGATTTTGTTCGAAATGTATTGCGCTAATATATCACATAGTTTTGATAATCTCCGTTTTCATACTTGAGTATTTAACTATTAGACTACTGTATATAGTATAATTAATTTTACATTAAGTTCATCAATTTATTGATTGTTCTATTACATTACAATAATAATTGTACTTCTGTTTTTTTAAGGGATTTGGGAATCTTTATATTAGTTTAATATTTGGTACTATAATTGAATGTATTTTCGGTTTTTTTATAGAAGATAGTCATTTACTATTGTAGTGCTTGAATAATTTTAACTTATAGGGAAAAACTATGAGAGTTTTTGGTGTTATTCCCTTTAAGGTTACTTTCTAGTGTATATATCTTGAATAGGTTACAAGATTTCTTCCGGGAAATACTTCAATTTAAGAGATGGCAATTATCCTTTTTTTTATTTTTTAATGATATCCCATTGTAAATTGAATATTAAGACAAGGTTTATTGAAAGTTTCAAGTAATTTATTTACAAGATTCATGTTATTAGATGAAACAAAATGTATTTTAGTGGCCCGTGATCTGACTCCAATTTGATCGTATAGATTGGTTGCTATCACCTATCCTCGTATATAATCCAGTGACTTAAATCGCGTTAGTTAATAACGGAATTAAATAAGTCAAATAACGAGAATGGAGTTTTGAATGCATATATTTTGTATAATTGTTGATTAGACAGAACGAACGGAGGAACGATGCGAAGATGAAAAAGCGAAGCAAAAATGACGAGCGGTGGAGATGGCTGGTAAGCCAACTCTCCCTTTAACAAAGAGTTAATCAATATTTATAAGCCTACAAAAATAAATCACAGACATGTAATGAGTAACGGCATAAGAAGTGTGTACATACTCCTACGCGCTCATATAAAGACAGTCAAGACATTGATAAGCGAATAATTAACAAGGTCAGAATGTGACTCAAATAGAATGAGCTGTCCGAAAGTTAGAATAATAAGGTATTTAGGCTTAACATAATGACTGACACTACAGTATCATCGACATGCCATACATAATGTCCAATTACAAAGATAACAGATAGTGGCTTTATTCTTTCCAAACTTCCAAAAGTCAAATACATAAAGACTAGTTTTAAAGAATATTCTTTTATCACACTATTTGTTAAATTAAAAGTGTATAGTCTTAGTAACTATTTGATTTGAATTTGACGTATGGTGAATGATAGAAGATGTTTGAGATCAATAGTTTCAGGTATCATCTTAAGAACCTTCAAATTTATAAGTCTTATTAATTTAAGATTATAATCTATTATTGTTTTATATTAATTGATTGTAAGCTAAATAGTAACCAGTATCTTTGAGTAGAACTCCATCTGGAATCCCTTCAGGTTCTACTGCCGATGTTAAGCCCAAATAAAGAAAGAGGGTTAGACATGGGGTTAGAGACCCTATCCCGTAGAAAACTAACTCGCTAGAAAGAAAAAAAAACAACAACACTAACCAGAAAATATCTTTGACTAGATGTACTGTATA